GGCAGTAACCCGTCTCAGGAGTAACTAGTCCAGTTTCTAGGGGGGGGGGCGTAACACGTCGTTTGGCTGCCATAGGGATTTATATACTTTAGTACGCGGTCAGCTGCTTCACCAGGACCCCGATGTTTGTTTGATGGAGAGGACATTGAAGCCATAATAGCCAAAGCCTTACATGAGCGGTTATGTCAGCCCATAGCATGGAAACCTCCTCGGCCGTAATTTTGTTTAGTAAACCTAGGCCTTACAAGGTTGACATGATTTCAGCCGAATTTCGGATATTGTGGCATGGACCCACTACATTGGCGGACCTGGTCGACCAGGTCGATCAACGTCGGCCTCGGGTAACCTTGCCTATGTTCTTATTTGTTCATGAAACATATTCTACTTAGTGTTGGAACAACTGGCGCTCCTATGGGCCATGACCATAACTACCAATGGTCATCTTACATCGGAGCACCAAAACAAGTGGCAAACACCCTAAGTAACCTAAATTTCACTTATGATAAATTCACCGGCTATATTCATGCTTACCAATGTGCTTTCGGGACTGCACGTCAAAAGTAACCTCGTCCAGACAACTGTCCCGTAGCTGCTGAGCCTAGGCGCTACACGTCTCCGGACTGCCAAATGGCCGTAGGTAGAGAGCAAATCATCAGGACAAATAATGCCTCCCTACACTCATATTGGATGGCAAACATTTTAACTAACCTCATCACAACATTTGACACACTCAGCGCGCATATCTGTGCCCAATTATGACACTTTCAAGGTTGCACATTTACCAAGCTTCTAGCTGGCGAGTAACCTGTCCAGACAACTGCCCCGTAGCTAGTAAGCCTGACGTCTCCGGACTGCCATAGGGCTGGGGGCACGGAAGTCAGGAGGCAGCACGTTGTCCTGAAAGGTGCCACATACATTGCCGGCCGGCCGGTACCTGAAGACATACACACGATCAACCTCGGCGATGCCGATTTGGGTGCTGCCCTGCCACACGACCTGTGTGAAATGCCCGGTTATGGTGCTGAAACCCGGTTTGTAGTAGTTGTAGAGCTCAACCTCGCTGTAGAAGCTGTCCACGGCCTCCTCAGCCGAGGCGTGCCCCGCTGCCAAGTTCTCGCCCTGGTCTAGCAGCTGCAGGTTGCGGGCGTGCTGGAGGCCCCTCCCAGCATGGTAATTTTTAGCGGCGACCACAGCGTACGCAGCGGCGTCGTAGGCCAGCTCTGGAGACCACATCAGCCTTGGTGCTCCGTGGAGTGCCCTGTAATAGTTGTGCCTGTCGACTGCGCCCTGGAAGTGGCGCGCCATGGTGGGCCCCTGTAAACTTTTTAGTCGCCTATAGGCCGGGGTCTCGTCTAATAGGTAATGATCCGAAATATATGGCGTATAGATGATTTGGCTATATAGTATACCTCTGCACGCCCGCGCGGACACCTGTCCCAGACGAGGTGCCGCCCTGGAGCGATGCTAACCGATTTCTTGCCAGCGTGCTGCTCGCAATTCCAGCACAACATTCTTTTTCTCTTAAACACCAGCAATTTGGTAGGGTTGGCGAACGTGAAGAAACTCGACCCGAACAAAGTCGAGTCTGTCATGTCAACGGTATAGCATTCCTTCAAGCCACAAAGAACACAGTAGTTCAAATAGTAATAATAGTAATGCGCTTACTATAGGAAGAAATATTTGCTTCGGTCTTGCATGTGCGATAGCGACAGCGACGTGCGGCATTCCAGTCTGCAAAATGTGAGACAGAAAAAATGGTGAATGCCTTATTGCTACTGGTGATCTTTGTAAAAAATTAAGCAAAACTGTCCAATGTCTTTCTGTACGGCGACCCTCTTGAGCTGGCGCCCATTGATTACCGAAGTCTTAATCGCATTACTGTGAAAAATCGGTATCCTCTTCCTCGTATTGATGATATCCTTGACCGTCTTTCGGGTGCAACTTTTTTTAGTTCTTTCGACATGACGCAGGCATATCACCAGATTGCCTTGCGCCTCGAAGAACGTGAACGTTCGGCTTTCCGTACTCCTTTTGGTCATTATCAGTACAAGGTTATGCCTTTTGGCTTGACTAACGCCCCTGCGGTGTTCCAGACTGCCATGAATCAAATGTTTAAGCAGCCCCTCGCACAAATGTGTCCGGTCGTACTGTGCCGAATAAAGCCTCCGTACAAGATGCCCCAAAAGCCAGGCGCGAATTTTACCGCGCGGATGCGCGCGTTCGGTTCGCAAAATGCGCGTGTACAAGTGTATATAAATGTTCTTGGCGAAAAAGGACGAGGTGTGCCAGCGCGTTGCGCAGTAGGCATGTTGGCCACAGTCGCACGCGGCATGCAGGCCGGAAATGTGGGTGGCTGCTTTGCAGTAAGTGAAAGCACCGACAGCAAACAACGTAACTTGCAAGGCTGGGCGCATGAAACGGCCGAGGGAAGAGGAAGCGTCTGGCGAAGCGGCACTTTTGTGCAAGCAAAAAGACGCCTGCTTTCTGTAGCGGAGCGCATACAGCACCTTGTTCCGACTAAAGTCAAGCTACACACTTACGAATGAAATTATACAAACACAGAAGTAGGTAAACATAAAAATCTGGAAAGTGGTTCAGAGCCATGTAAGTAACATGGACGCCGCTGATGGCGTGGAACAGCTTTTTGCAGAGCATACGGCCGTGCCTGCGTTAGCCGTGTTGCAGCAGCTACGGAAGGACTTGAGCCAGCAGCAGGGTGAAAAGCTGCTGAACAACCACCGGGATTGTCTTCAGTTGGGAACATGTAGCTTTGGACGGCGCGGTCGAGCATCGTACGCATTGCGGACGCAAGCCGAGGTGCAGCGTCTCTTTAACATCACCAAAATATCCGGTACGCGGTGGCAGGCTTGCCGAGCACGACATGAAACGGGGGTCGCCTCTCAACATTCAAACAATCAACGAAGCATGCAAGTGCCATTGCAGATGAAGACGCGTCGCAATTTTGGGCGACGAGTGCCGGTCAGCGTTTACGTGGTAAGGCAAGAACCAAGGGGTTGCATAGGTCGGGTCATGGCCGTGGTAGTGGCGTACGACCATTCATATGGTAGGAGCCCACATTAGTCCGCCTCTTTTCAGCGAGTAAGTATCAGAAAGGATGCCAATTCCAATCCTGGCGACTGTGATTGGTGCGATCATGAGGTGTATTGCAAGCGTCAACCGTGTGAAATTGAGCTACAACGCCTGCTGAATCGTCCGATGCATGTTGCCCTGTCCGACAGGTCCGCATGGTGCAGAAGTGGTCCGTGCAGCCCATCCCCTGGCAGGCTCGGTGTGTGACGGCGGTACAGCCGACACGATGTCCATGCTCATCGATTCACAACCAACCCGCGATCATGTAGGAAATGTAGACCCGTCCTGCGGCACTGGTAAGCGCCTGCCAATGCGGGCATGTGATTCGCGAGTGTCTGGGGCTTTGCTGAAGTTAAGCAGCCTCTCGCACAAAACCCTAAAATCCGTCCTGCGGCACTGGTAAACGCCTGCCAATGTGGGCATGTGATTGGCGTCTCAGGCTTCTCTGCAGTTCCTAGGAATACGGTTTGGGCTGCTCTGTAGGCGCTTCAGGCACCTTCCTCCAGGTCAACACGAAACTTGGTAACGGGGCACCACTGCTTATGTGCTGCTATGCAGGCTGCACGAACCCGCGACCGATTCACGTGCCCTTACACACCCCCTGTGTGGTGCTTGCGTCCCGGCTACTGGCACCTTGGCCTTATAGAATTTGTGTTCGGTATGGAAGTGCGTCGGATTTGTACGTAGCTGACTTGATGTGTAATACATCACCCTGGACGTTGACGTCCCTACTTCCGGAGACGGACAGCTACGCCTTGGCTTGCCAGCCTGGCCTCTTCCACCGGGCGCGACAACATGGAAGCGCTGGGCGATGCAGCCCCTTTACAAACATTTCGGGGCAGGCTTTCGGAAATAGCAGCGCCTTCAACACCATGTCCCCAGTCCTGTCTCCTCACAAACTAACGCACTACATTACATACTTTAATCATCCATACTGTCAGAAACCTTGTTACACCCGTGCAGGCGACATTCTCGGCACTCATGGCTTGCAGCAGCTTATCGCTGTGCTGGACGCAGCGTGCCACTTTCGCATTTCCGAAAGACCACCTGCCATATCCATTGCACTTTATCCGTTTCCGCAAGCGACCTCGCCAAGCACCCCACCGGCTGCCGCTGCTGCCGTCGCCCATCCACCCCATGTGAAGACGTACAGACCGCGCTCCGTCGCCCGTCCGATTCCGGCCGCCCGGTCCCCTCCCCTTCAAGCGTCCAGATTGTACGATGCCGCGACTTGTATAAATGCCTGCCTGTGTCGCCTTCTTTTTCATACCAATTGCTGTTTGCATTTTTTTGCTCTAAGACCGACCTCACTTTTACGGACGGCAGCCAGCCAGACTTTCCTGCGCAACCACCTGCTCTGCTCTTGTAACCTCCAGCAGAATGCCGCCCAAAATGGCCCGACAACCACAGCTACCTCTTCCCGCACTTGCGCCGACCAGCATGGGCGCATACGGATCACCTTCGCCCAGCCTGCCGTCCGGCTCCACTGTGGGCACCGCCGCCAAGCCACCCCTCCACATTGCGGACCTGTGGGCGCAATTAGCCGCGGCGTCGCCAACCGGCGGAGGGCACGATCGCTCCTCGCCTGCTGGGGCGCCGAGACGGCCCCTCACCTTCAGGTACGCGCCTCATCTTCAGGCACTAGTAGCCACCATGCCGTGCAACACCCTGCCGAACATAACGTTTGCCTTGCATGCTGCGCCCCGACGCGCCTCTCCAGCTGTCACATGCAACATGCTGTCCATCCTGGCATGCCCTGCTGCTGCCCCTTGCACCTGCAGGCAGCAACTCCTCTTGGGAGGCATGGGATGTCACGATGAGGACGTCCTCCACGCGCACTACACAAACGCCGAATTCAATATGCTCCTGGCCGAGGGCCGCAAGCACAAGGACGAGTTCCAGGCGCAGCACGGCGCCAAGCCCGCCAGCAGTAAGTCTTGCTACGTAGCCGCCCATCGCTCGCCTGCGCCAGCTGCCGTCCCCCCTGCCCGCTTCCCATCTGCCCGGCCATGAAACCACAGCGTCCTTACCTGTCATGCCCCGCCCCTGCATGCCGTCACTTCCGCCCCACCATCCGGCCACCCACACTTTCACCCTCCCGTCGTCCATGCCCATGCAGCGTTCTTGTACAGCGTCACGGCCATAATTCACGATGGAGACATGCCGGACCGGGCGACGGCCACGCACGCGGCCGTCATGCAGCTGTGGATCACGGTGGCCGGCAGCCTGCGCGCGGATACCGCCATAGCACTAATTTACGATTACGGGATGGACGCCGGCACCATCCTCAGAGCGGACCAAGAGTTCACGCTGTCCGTGCTGACCGCTGCTCAGCAGGCGCAAGCGTCGGGCGCCCTTCTGTCCTCCACAACACCAGCCAAACGTGCGGCTGGCAGCCCCGCGGAGCCCGAGTCCAGTGCCCCTGCCCGCACGTGACTCTACACCATCACATGCGCACCGACCGGAAGGGTGTACGTCGGCCAATCCAAGCATCCACACCGCCGCTTCCAAGCTCATGCCTGCAACCCACCCACCCGCATGATGGACGACGCCCACCGCTACCAACCCTTCAGAGACCACTTCACCCTCACGTGCCTCATGTCCACCGCCAATCCTGCACTGGCCGACAAGATGGAGGCCCTCTACATCGCGCAGTTCAAAAGCTGCGGGCCGGACGGCTACAATGTGCTGCGAGGGCCGCCTTCCGCCAGCCCGGCCTTCTACACGATCAGCCGGCAACGGGCCGGTCGCGCCCACACGCCGCCCGCTGGGACAGTCCAACATGACGGCGCCCCAGCCGCGCTTGCCCAGCCGACACAGCAACAGGGCACTTGCCGCATGATGTCCCGACCATTTCCGCGCTAGCCTTCTGGACGTTGAGCAGTGGCTGCTGTATTTACGCACGATCGTGCTGCGCTTTGCATACATGTCCGACAATGACTCGTGTGTCAACTGCGGCTGGTGCCCATACGGACACCAGCGCTTGGGGGTTGGTCCGTTGCGTTCGTGGTGGGGAGACGGGGCGCTACTCCTTTCTAGGTTGGCTCGTCGCGTGCATGGGGGCGGGCTTGGGAGCGTGCGAGTTCCCCCATCCTGTGGCCTGTTCTGGCATTGCCGTCCTAGCGCTTTGCATACATGTCCGACGATGACTCCTTTGTCATTGTCATTGTCATTGTGGTTACAGTATTTCCGCCGCCGACGCGGCAGGTGCCCTCACGAGCCGTGAGGCTCCAGAGCACGCTGTTGACGCTCATCAAAAACCTCAGTAAGGAAAGTAGCGATTTTCCTCGGATTGGTATTAAGAAATACCTTGCGCATATCAGTGTCTTCAACGTTAATCAGAAACCTATTACGCAACTCAGTATACGCCTCGCACTCCATGAGCACATGATATTCATCCTCAACCTTACCCGACGTACAGACCTGACACGTACGGCACTCTCTCAGCCTATGGTGTCCTTTGTGGACTACGGCTGGTGCGCATACAGACACCAGCGCTTGGGGGTTGGTCCGTTGTGGGGCGCTACTCCTTTCTAGGTTGGCTCCTCGCGTGCTCAGGGGCAGGCTTGGGAGCGTGCGACTTCACCCATCCTGTGGCCTGTTCTGGCATTTCCGTCCTAGCGCGAAATAATACTTGTACCTATGCCTGACTGTTAATTGCTACATGACAGCAGAGGACGGACGCGACGTGTCCCGTATACGCCTTGTTCTGGTTGTTGTTCTGGTATACGCTTTGCATACATGTCCGACAATGACTCGTTTGTGAACTGCGGCTGGTGCCCATACGGACAACAGCGCTTGGGGGGGGCGCTTGCGTTAGCGTTGGGGGGGGGGAACGCTGCTCCTAGGTCGGCTCGTCGCATGCTCGGGGGCTTGCTTGGGAGTGTGCGAGTTCACCCATCATGTTTCCTGTTCTGGCATGTCCGTCCTAGCGCGAAGACTTGTACCTACGACTTATTCTTCGTTACTGTAAGACAGATGAGGACGAACGCGACGTGTACTGTACACGCGTTGTTGCTGTTGATGTTCGTGTAGACGCCCGTGAAGCGAAGACTGCAAGTACATTCCGCCCTGCGACAAACAACCTGTAACTCGCTTCGACTAAACTCAGATTACGATATGACACTGCACTGCTCTCTCTCGTTGGCTCGTCGCGTGCTTGGGGGCAGGCTTGGGAGCGTGCGAGTTCACCCATCCTGTTCCTTGTTCTGGCATTTCCATCCTAGCGCGAAAGAAGACTTGTACCTACGCCTCATTGTTCATTGCTATATGACAGCAGAGGACGGACGCGACGTGTCCCGTATACGCGTTGTCCGTGTTGTTGTTCTTGTATACGCACGCGACGATACGACTGCAAGTACATTCCGCCCTGCGACAAACGACCTGTAACTCGCTTTGACTCCACACAATATACAAGCTGCCGCTGCACATCTCTCTCCAGTCTGGCCCCCTTCCTGTTTCCCGCAAACGTACTTCGGCAACTGCCACAGCACCATACGAGCTTTGGAAACGCGCGCAGCTGCTTCACCAGGACCCCATTCTTTGCAGATTTGCCGTTTGTCATGGTTTACTTGGACGATATCCTCGTGTTTTCTCGTACTCCGGACGAACACGTGGAGCATTGTGCTGCCATGTTAGCCCGCTTGGAGAAGCATCGTTACTACTGTAAGCTTAAAAAGTGTGAGTTTTTCAAGTCGTCTGTTTCTTTCCTTGGTCATATCGTTTCTGCGGACGGTGTCAAACCTGATCCCGCGAAAATTTCTGTTGTTCGTAATTGGCCTCACTAGATCGCTGGGAACAGGGACCCCTATGTCCTGGAAACGATGCAGGCACTGTGGACAGTATGCAAACCCTCTCAGACATACCAAGTCCAACCAACAACCGTCTCCTGGCCCCATACCACCATGAAAAGTCTGATTGGATGGAAATACAAAACCCTCTAAATGCAGGCAACCTACAAGCGGTGCCAGTCATTAGTAACGCATACAGCCAAGCACATCCTCCTCCATCATCTTTGGTTCAGTCCTGGAAACGATGCAGGCACTGTGGACAGTATGCAAACCCTCTCAGACATACCAAGTCCAACCAACAACCGTCTCCTGGCCCCATACCACCATGAAAAGTCTGATTGGATGGAAATACAAAACCCTCTAAATGCAGGCAACCTACAAGCGGTGCCGGTCATTAGTAACGCATACAGCCAAGCACATCCTCCTCCGTCGTCTGCCAACCGCCACATCCCGAGCCCGAAGCACCTCCAACGCTATCACCACAGCCGGTCACCACGGTCGGCTTAGGTGCGCAATGTGCTACGGCAGACTCCTAAGTTGGCTGCGAACATTGCATGTATGAGTGTAGCAGCACGCCAAGCCCTGTGCCTCACCGACGGAAACTTAAACATTGCTGCTTACACCTCAGTCGGCCAGCCCCGTCAGCTTGAAGACCTCGCTGTACACCTTGTCCGGTCCTGGGAGGGCCGGGGGCTCCCAGGCAGACGGGTCGCTGCAAGGCGTCGACCACCAGGCATCTTCCTTGCGCAGGGACAGCACGTTCTTGCGTGCATAGACCTCCATCTCCACGATTGTCGCCTTGTCCTTGAAGACCCGCAGTGCGCTGACATACGGAATCTTGCTGAACAGTTTGCCCGAGCCGAGTAGGCTCGCTGGGCGCGCCAGACCCCCATCCAGTACAACCACGGAGAACGTGCTGACGAGCCTTTCGCCATCAGTGCCACGCTGCTGGGGTCCCCAGACGACAGGCCAGCCCGGCGGCCACGGCAGCCCCACGAGCACGCTGTCCACATGCTCGGTCACCTAAAAGCAGACAAGAAACAGGCCACGGTTAAAGGGCCTGGTGTTGGGATTGTAGGATGCCGACAGAGAAAAGTCTTTACGAGTCACACTAGCTAGTGGGAAGTGGGATCACTAAGAGGGCTAAATCCAAAGCCATCCACGTCCAAAAGGGGCACCACCGGCTAGGTGCAGTTGCACTTGCCTTGTGCTTCTGAAGTACACCGTCCACGTTCAGTTCCAGACCGGCCAAGACCTCCTGCAATGTATTGTACTGGCTCAAGGGCTTCTTGGTGTCCTTCTGGCCCTTTACCATGAAGCCCACCTCCCTGTACAGCGCCGGCAAGCTGTTGTCGTCTGGTGTGTTGATAGTGCTGACCGGCATGTATAGCAGCGCGATGTTCAGAATGCCGATGTGATTTTGGGGCGACCAGTGGCAGGCACCCTCCACTGCGACGTGGTAAAAGAAACACCACCTCGTCGGGTTGCACCACTCGTCCGAGTTGGGCGGTGGGTGCATCATGAGGGCCCAGAGGCACTCCAGGAAAAAAGCCAGGTATTGAATCTGCGGAGTACACAGCCGGGAACGATCCGACACGTGTGTGTGGTGAATAAGTCTCATACACGACAGCAGCAGTGACACTCAGAAGGCATCAGAAACCAGAAACGACCAATGCCTATGCACTGACCTGAAGCTGCATGATCTTGTTGTGCTTCGAGTCGAGTGTGGCCTTGAGTGGCTTGCCGTGCTTGTACCTCTTCCATGCCTCATTGTACACAAGCATGCTTTTTCGTTGACGTGCATGCAAATGGGCAACACCGTCCTCAACGGCCCGGAAGAAGGCTGCAATGGACTCGTCGGCTACACCGGTCTCCGCCACCCATGTGGTGGTGTTCCTAGAGGGCACGGGAGCGGGTGCAGCGGGCACGCACATAGGAAAACGTCACGATGTCGCGGGCCTGGACGGGCCTGCGGCGGCAGTGCCTGTGGAGGGCTGCACCCGAGGTTGTTGTGGCTCCAGCTGGTCGTACACCGCCTGCCGCTCACCACCAGCAGCCTGGAACTGCTTGATCAGCTCTGACTTGACACGCTCTCCTTCCCGTATGAGCCCCAGGAGACAACACTGGCCGGCCGTCATTCTCTGCCAGTCCTGGTCGGGAATGCATGAATCACACTGGAATCTGCAAGGGCGAAGCAAGAGGCGAAAGGCAAACAGGACGACATTCACAGAATTGCTAATAGTAATCGGTGCACAGTCTGACCGCTCCGTACACAGTACACACTACGGGACGGGTCTTTCCCCATCGCTCCGTTCCCCAACGAAATGGCACAGGATGGGTGGCAATTAGGGTGGCATGCCACAAACCCCTCCCCCAGTCCCCACCTTGCAGCTCACCTTGAGCACAGGGCTCGTGCTTGATGGGCCCAGCCCGGCCAGCCGCTGAACCGCCAGCCGCTCCCGCTGCTCCCCCGCGAGCCGCTGCACCACCCGCCGGACAAGCCGCTGAACCACCCGCCGCTGCACCACCAGCCGGCCCCGTGGCTGCACCACCTGCACGCTGGGATGATTGCTGTTGCCGGCCGATTCCCACACGAAGGGGCACGCTATTGTAGCTGATATTCATGGACTCTGGGGTGGGAGAGCGATGATTGCGGTGGGCGAGGACGTTAGGTAGGTAAAGGGGGCCAGGCATGGGAGCTTGGATGGGCAGCATCCTTGCAAATTAGTCTCTACATCTCGCAGCGGCTGGAGCACACATGGCTTGGTGGTGGTTCCGTGGGCAAGGAGGCGACAGGTGCAAGCTGGTGCAGTGCCTCACCCATATCAGATCTCCAGAGAAACCGCTTCAACACATGGCTGCAAGGCCCCTTGTCTCAAGTACTCATCCTGCAAGCGCACGCTTCTGTAGAACTAACCGGCGGTGGCATGCCACTAAACCCCTCCCGCCGTCCCCGCCTTGCGGCTCACCTTGCATGTCGGGCTCCCGCTTGATGGGGGGCCAAGGCCAGGCAGCCGATGCACCACCAGCCGCTGCCGCCGCTGCACCACCCGCCAGCCCCACCGCTCCAGACGCTCCCGCACACCGCGACGACAGCTGGTGCTGTCCTCCCGCCATGCAAGGGGGCGGGCTGTCATCGCTGTCGCTAACGATGATGGCCTCTGAGGGAGGGGGGGGGGCGGGGGTGCGGTGGGCGAGGACGTTAGGTAGGTAAAGGGGGCCAGGCATGGGAGCTTGGATGGGCAGCATCCTTGCAAATTAGTCTCTACATCTCGCAGCGGCTGGAGCACACATGGCTTGGTGGTGGTTCCGTGGGCAAGGAGGCGACAGGTGCAAGCTGGTGCAGTGCCTCACCCATATCAGATCTCCAGAGAAACCGCTTCAACACATGGCTGCAAGGCCCCTTGTCTCAAGTACTCATCCTGCAAGCGCACGCTTCTGTAGAACTAACCGGCGGTGGCATGCCACTAAACCCCTCCCGCCGTCCCCGCCTTGCGGCTCACCTTGCATGTCGGGCTCCCGCTTGATGGGGGGCCAAGGCCAGGCAGCCGATGCACCACCAGCCGCTGCCGCCGCTGCACCACCCGCCAGCCCCGCCGCTCCAGACGCTCCCGCACACCGCGATGACAGCTGGTGCTGTCCTCCCGCCACACGAGGGGGCGGGCTGTCGTCGCTGTCGCTAACAATGATGGACCCCCTCCCTCCCTCCCTCCCGCCGTCCCCGCCTTGCAGCCCACCTTGCATACTGAGGCCGATGGGACCGCACTTGATTTGTGCCGCGAGCATGTCACCGAGAGAATGCCAAAGCCCGCCAGCCAGCACCCCGCCAGCCGCTGCACCGCCCGCCCGCCGCGACGGCTGCTGTGCCTGGCCTCCAGCCAGGCGGCAAAGTGTGCCGTCGATGCTTTGGTAGTATCCTTGTTTGAAGGGAGGGGGCGGGCAGGGCAGGGCACATGTCAGCGGAATTCAAACTAAGAAACAATAGGACCGGAGGCGCCATAGTCACGTCCAAGAACGCCGCTAAGTAAAGGCTATCATCGCGGAATGGGATGGGTGGGCAGCCTTGCCTTCTAGAGGGTGACGAGAGCAACTCACCGGCCGGAGGGAAACAGGCGCTAGCTTGTTTTGCCATTTCCTTCTCCTGGTTGGATTCTAATAACATCTCCTCTAACTCCAGGAGTTGCTTATTGAGGACGTTCCTCAGCCCGTCTGTGAGAAGGGGTGCAGGGGGGAGGAGCATTGTGAATGCTGTAAACGGCCCATCCGTGTGTGGTGCTCTGGACAGCCTGCCCTTGCAGTGTTATGACCTCAAGGCCTAGTGGGGGCTACGACTGCTGCACAGGCTGTGGCTCAGGGTGAAAGGTTCCAAGGGTGTAAAGTTTGTTGCCCCTCAGCGCAATCGCAAGGTATCACACTTTAACTGCTGCCAGGGATGCAAATGGAACCTTACCGTTGCTGCCGGCAGGAAGGTCCGTGGACTGGGGCGGAGACACATGGTCCTCAAGCCCGGGGCCACCTGCATGACAGCCAAGAGCACGAGCGCAGGTGCAAGGAAATTGGATGATGCAGGATTGCTTCCATCGCAGACACCTCGAAGACATCGGTATGGCATCATAGGACATCTAGGGTGGACAATGATGTGTGGGGTCGCCGCAAATAGTGAGTTGTGTGAGTCTTACCCGCTCCAAGGAGGGCGTCGGGCAGCTGCGGGTCGACAGGGTGCCGGGCGGTGTGGTCACATGCGCCCTTTAGGTATCCCCTCATCGTGGTAGCATCTACAGAACGCATGACCATTACAACATGATACAACAAGGGTGATAACGTGGGAGGCCATGATTTTGGCGTGTACCTTCAGGATCTGTCAGCTTAGACTGACAGCGGGCTCGTCAGCATGAAGAGGGCGGTTGGGGGCCAGCTGCGACCGAAACATCTGCCACTGATTGGATGTTGAAGATTGCGTCGACTTGGCCTCCTCGGTCTCCTCCTCGGCGTCGGGACGAGTGCGAATCCTGAGATTGTAAGGGCGACCCGACGCAATGCTGGAGGTCGGCTGAACCTGCGCTAGTTGTTGTTGTTGGTGTTGGTGTCACTTTTCCGCTTTTTCTCTTAACCGCGCCGATTGCCGCCCGGGCGGTTCCATCTCTAGGCCTAGTCAGGTAAGGTCACGTCAGGCCAGTCAATTCGCGCCTTCGCTGTTTGCTTCACACCAATAAATAGGCCAAAATTGCTCCATTTATACAATAGGCGCGTGGGAATGGCGGGGAAGACGAAGCGAGTTGCCTTAAGCGCGCCTTGCGCGTTTGAAGGTGAAACGTTCATTATTTGTCATGTACTATCCACGGACAAAGAAGCCACACAAACGTGTGAAAGAAAATGAAAGAAAGGGCTTGTTCCAAAGGAAAGTGTTCCTGTTCCATGTGATAGCCGTACTGTTCCGGGAACATGGCCGCGCCTGTTCCAGGAACGGACCTTCCCTGTTCCCAACGACGGACTCGAAGTCTGGTCCTCTGCCCGCCGAACGCTATGACGAGAAGCTTTTTAACCAGAGCGCCTTCCGTGACTGGCTACTACTCAAGGTGGTTTACCGGGAGAACGTCACGGTGCCAGCGCCCATGTCCTACAGATGCGGCGTCTTTGTCAACCACGATTACAAGCTGATCTTCATCCGCAACCGCAAAGCAGCCTCGACGACCGTGCTCGACACATTCAAGACCGCGTGCAAATCCCAGAAAGTCATGTGTATGAAGCCATTTTCGGAGGAGGAGATGGAGGCGCGCGGACTTACCCACGACGCCATGTGGAACTCCTATTACGTCATTTCCTCCACACGAAATCCATGGGCCCGCGCGGCAAGCGGCTACGATTACGCGCAAGACAGGTACGGAAGTACGGTAGTATGGTGTACGACACGCATGGGAAGTATGCATTCATTGCCAAATTCGTGCATTCGCACTCAGAAGGGTCGACAGGTAAGATGTTACACCATATTTACGTGGAATAAAGGCTGGTGGCTACAGAGCAGGTGAATGTTTTATATATGTGTGTTTTATGGCTAGCCGGGGAAAGCCTTATGAGGTTGCCGCCGCCTCCCCCCCCCAGTCCTCACCCGGGATTTCCCCGTCTTGCTCTCCCTCCACGGCCCCCCCCAGTTCTGTACGAACCCGTACTTGTTGGGCACCATGGGCAGCATGTTTCGTTGCGGAGCCGAGGTGGGGGTGGAGGGGAGGGGGAGGAGGGGAGTTGAGGGGAGGGGGAGGGGGAGGAGGGGGAGGAGGGGGAGGGGGGAAGATTTTATGGCATATGAGGCTGCTGGGTGGGCGACCGCGTAAACCTACCTACCTAGCCGCCAAGACTAAAGTAAGAGCGGAAGAAAAGCCGTAAAACGAAGCCGTGAAGAAGGTGTAGAGGCGGCGAAAAACAGGCGGCGAAAAAGTAGTGCTGACGTAAGCTGGAAAAGGATATTTGCCGCCGGCCTGGCGGCGGCATTTACGAGATCGTAGCAAATCCGGCTGATAAGCTGCTGGTAATAAACAGCTGGTGATATGCAAGTGCTCCTCCCAAACCCCCCAAAACAACGCGCGACCGACCCGACTATCCTAGTCCGGCTAGCCGACCGACGCAACGCGATAAACCGACAAAGCTCGAACCTCCTTCGGACTCACCTGGCCAGGCAGCAGAAGCGGCAGAGGCAAGGGCACATGTGAGGCAGAGAGGTGGCAAGGTTTGTGAGCAGCGAGCGAAACGCATGCGAATGCCGCTGAAAGGGAGTATTAAGCTGGCTGACCGGGGAAGCTGGGAATAAGAAGGCCTAAAGAACCTCTGTGAAAGCGGAAGATAACGCAGGGACTAAAAAGAATGCAAAGGCGACGCAGGATGACGCAGAAGGTGTCGTACGAGATGACGGAATTGACAACGGGATGACGCATTTGACGACGTGTACGCCGGCAGAAACGCGAAGAAGCTAGGACTGGGATAGCAAGAACGCATATGAAAAACCAAAGGGAGGAGAGGCAGTTGGTAGGAAGAGAAGCGCATGTGTGTGTGTGCGCGGGCTGGGGCCACCCGTGTGTAACAGCCGTCTCTTACCTTAGCTGTTTTAGCGGAAGTAGAGGGTCTCGTCCACGATTGGCGACCCAGCGTTAGGCGTGAGAAGAGACAAGGGAAGTCGGGATTCGAAGACATACGTCGAGAACGGTGACAGCAAGGTCTTGAACCCTGAACACTAGTATAGTGATACGTTAAGTGTCTGGCCGAAGCACTTCACCTGGGTGGCTTAAATGCGGCCCACCTGCCGCCATCTCCATTCCTGGAGTCTTGGTGTCGTACGCTAGGTTGTGATAGCGTACCAGAAAGTGAGTTCGTACAGTTAACGAGTATGGTTCGTAAATACGGGACCGTACCGTTACTGTGATTAAGCTTTAATAGCTTAAAGATATTCTAAGGTAAATGTAGCTTGCTACATCCCTCCCCCTCAGAAGCGAACCGTCCCGGGAGCGTCACCTTTTCTTGCGAGCAGGTGCTTTCCGTTTCGGTTGTTCTGGGGTGCTGTTCCGGGGTGCTACCGAAGGAGGGGTGGTCAGGACCACTTTCCTTTTTGGTGTAGATTGCCCGGACTTTGCCGCCAACCGTCGTTCATAGTCGTCAATAGCTTCGGCCAAGGGAACGGACTGACGCAGGGAATCTTCCGGTTCATAGGTGTTATGACTGGAGTCATAGCCTTCCCATTTAACCAGATATTCTCGACATGTTTTGCCGGTTCCACCTCGGATTTTCACATCACGATGGTCAAGTAGTGCCTCAACCATGTAATATGGCTCTTCGTCAATTATGAACGGGGGCGGCGGTTGTCGTGTTCCATCGTCCTTGAATGGTTTGAGCAAGGATACGTGGAAGACCGGATGGAGTCGGGAAGTCGCGGGTAATCCCAATTTTACCGCGTTCTCTCCCACTCGGGCGACAACCTTATATGGCCCAATAAACTTAGGCAATAATTTCTTTGCCCCAGGAGATTTCAACTGGATGTTGCGGGTGCTGAGCAGCACGGAGTTCCCAACCTCAAAACGCACCGCACGCCGATGCTTGTCGACGACAATGCACTGGCGGGATTGAGCAGCTTTAAGACACTGTTTTGCGTTTTCAATACGTTTGCGCATGACCTTGGGATAGCGGTCAGCGGCAGGCACTTTGGTTTTTAGGTGCAAGTCAACCGGCACACGTGGCTGCTTGATACCATTAAGGCTAAACGGGGTGGCACCCGTTGAGCTCTGCCTCGAGTTATTAATAGCAAACTCGATGAGTGGCAGGTGTTCGTCCCAATCATCCTGAGTGGGCGAAATATAGTGCCTCAGTGTCTCTTCTAGCAAGCGATTCATTCGCTCGGTTTGACCATCAGTCTGCGGATGGTAGGCTGTGCTCATATAGAGGTGGGTGCCTAGCAGGCGAAATGTTTCCTTCCAAAAGTTGCTTGTGAAGCGTGTGTCCCGGTCAGACACAA